ACCATTTTATGATTCTATGATTCTATGATTTATGGAGACTTTTTAAGGGATAAATTTTATGAATCTCCAGTCTAAAGTCTGCTCATATAACTGATACACTTTGTTTTTCTGCCTAAGATTTTCCCTTGCATACACAGCAGAAAAACAAACAAACACGATTCTTGGTTATTTCCCTGAAAACCAGTCCTCTTCCCTAGCAAGATTAACTTGTCGAGTAATCTTAGAGCAAACACTTTATTTTAATCTATCATTGTTTTCTGACTGTGGGTTTAGCAAAGGTCAGAAAAAGAGATTCATTAAAGTGGTTGCGCATTTGTTTTTCCGAAAGCACATCGGAAGATGAATGTTTTGCCAAAGAAAATAAAGAAATACAGTATTTCTTTTAATATACTTCAGCTAAATAAAGTCTTAACATCACATGTATTGGCCCAGATGGGGTGTTTGCAGCATAAGGTACAAGTCGTATAATTTCTACTATCTGAAAAGTGCTTAAATGAGCTCTACTTCAGCCATGCCGTTTATTCCACACCTGAGGTGAAGTAACTCTGGTCCGTTCTCTGATGTAGAGCCATCAGGGAGCTGACTGCCAGTGTGTTTGTGCAAGTCTGTTTGCTTATATAAAGAACCCATTTAAGCTTCTCCACCCAAGAAATTCATGTTGATTTTGGATAATCCCTGGGTGATTTTATTCTGCAAAATAAATAAATAAATCTTCCAAACCTGTGACGCAGCCCTGCTCTCACATATTTTGGATTATGAGAAGCATAGTATTTCTTTTGGGGAAACATGAACTGACATGGGACATGGACAATTTTATATTTGTCCAGTAGAAAAATAGGATGTGTATTTCAATATAGGGTTATGTGACATTGGAGTTTCACCTGAGAAGAGTGCAGGGTCAGTTGATGATGAGGAGAGTTTTGCGTGTGGATCGCCAGAACCCACACTGCGCGCTCATCCTCCAGTGTGGCTTCTCTAGGAGGAGTGCCAATGTGATTTGCTTTGGCAACAAACCAGGGTTTCAGAAGAAAAGGAAAAGTTGTATTAAGCAGCTAAAACAAGTCTTCAGGGCCAGCATTGGCGGTCAGGACTCGCTTTCAGTCTTAGAGAGATCGTACGTGTATGTGGCCAGTAGGCGTGGGGATCTGAGCATCCTCGCTCTGCGTGGTGCTGAGTAGGGCTGCGCTGGGGATGCTTTGGCCCGATGCAGCAGAACCGGTCTCTGTTATCATATTCAGTCATAACTAACCCATCTGATTAAAACCAGCTTCTGCAAGCTCGGCTCTGCTCTCCCCTTCCCCTGCTCCCGTAAGAAAGCACAAGTGCACAGGCTGGAGTTGGGTACACTGAATTCCTAAACTCAAGTCTTGGCCAATGAGGAAAAAGCCCTTTTTTTTCACTCTGCTCTTAATCCCCACCTGTATGATGTGTATCCTTCCTCAGGGTTCTTGCTTTCACAACAAAACTCATTTTGAATAGGCACATCTCTGCTAAAATCAGTTACAGCTATAAATGTTGTCCTGAATCTCTACTCTGCTATTTATTAGGTAACTAAATATTAAATTAGATATCTAATGTCTTAAATAACTACAATAATTAACTGAATTTGTCTAACATAGTTATCTACCTTAACTTGGAAAATGTTGAGACTGGGATAGGCTGTCTTTGCTCTATTGTTTATTAATTACATTGCAGCACTGTTCAACATCTCTTGTAGCACATATTGAATTTGTGTAGTGAAAAGCAGCCATTAACTTCATGAGAGTGAAGAATACAAATAAAAATGTTTTGTTTCCTGTTTGGTTTCTGGGGTCTTGTAAACCATGAGAAGTTCTCTAGAAGATTTATACACCTACTTTACCACCTTTTCCCTTGCTCTAACCTAGAAATAAGGTGAAATTCTTGTAAAATCACTTATTTTCAAGAACTAAAGCTATTAATGGAATGTCAAACATTGACAGACATGCTGATAAATCACTGGAGATGGCAGTGCCTGACTAAAGCAATATGGAAATGATAGCAAATGTTTACAAGGGAAAATTGACCTGCCAATCCAACTCATGGTAACATACATACACTCAACATAACATACTCTTTCACCTGTTACTGTAGGTAGTGGGCCATCATATTTCAAATATTCTATGTTTTATGTATGTTATATATACCCTTAATTAGACCTGTGATGTAGACAGCCCATTCCTGCATGAGGTTAAGCTGCTGTGTAAATAAATAAAAAGTAGGAAAGACATATTTTGTTAAAAATAGAAACTAAGTTTAAAAACAATATTTTGGCCTTTGGCTTTTATTTAGGGTGTTGGAAAACAGAACAGGCTCTTGACTGTCCATAGGACCATGGCTCAGAAATGAGCCAGTCCCCATCACGTGTCAAAACCTTGCTGCAAGGAGATTTGGCTTATTCCAGACTAAAGCTGCATGGAAATCAACATGTTAGGAGTGTAAAAGATCAGGAGTTTAATCCGGAGTATGAAATTGAGCCCTGAGATAATAGCATGGATTTAAGAGATTGAGTGGTATTAGTACCAGTACATCTCTTTCAGATAAGCTATCAGCATATGTTCCTTCATGCTTTCTGCCTCTTTTCTTTCATCTTTTTTTCAGTATTTCTTCTTAGAGTCTTTTCCATCGAGTAGTCCAGCTTAAATTGGAGTGGTGTATCCTTAATACTGCTTTTAGTTTAGTGGGCAGAGCACTTTTCTAGCAGATGAAAGAACTGTGAACCCCCTTAGATTGGGGAACTTGAAAGCCATGTCACCTACCTCATGAACAAGAGTTAGAGATTCCCAAATTGCTGTAAATTTTTATATGCACCAGATCATCCCTGTCTTGTGGACTGGCTGGGAAGCGAGTAGTAAAGTCCTTATCGTGTAAGTGATTGCCCAAGCTCCTTCAGGAGACCACTGGCAGAACAGGAATGAAATTGCACAATAGGCTAGAACCATGAAGCTCTAACTTGATCTTTTTTGTAGCTGATTTGACAATGATAAGAACCTGCTTAGTTTATATAAGTGCTAGTGCTCCATGTTGACACATATGCATTTCATATTTTTCTTCATTCCATGGCACTATTTTGTTTATCTTTATTTTAAGACAAGAGATTTTGGATATCTGAAGGTTCTTAGTTTATAATAACATATATGATAGTTGTCTTGAGTGAAGGGACTCTTGTTCCTGGACAGTATTGCTATTGTAGATCCTGATCTCTCAGTATAAAGTTGGATTGATTTGAACTGATCCATTGCCTTGAGTTTGGTCTTGTAATGAATGAAGAGGAAGACAATGCTAGATGATGTGCCATCAAGTTCCATCCATGTTTCTGTGTTTTTCCCTGGTTCCCCAGCCACACATAAGGCTTCACATCCTGTACATGTGATTCATCAGTCTATATTTACCAGTGGTGGTAACTTAAAACTAAATTTTTTAGGTTTGATTTTTGTTATTTGTTGGGGTTTTTGTTAATTAAAAGGTGTTATTAATTTCAGGGTTTTACCAAGAACTGAAAAAAAAAAGATACTTGAAATTTCTATTATTAAAACAAAGGACTTATTTTCTTTTATGTTTCAGACACAGATATTAAGGAGCTAGAGGATGTTTTTGGACTTAACGGACAAGTAGAGCATAAGCTGAACTTCCTCAAAAAGAATGTGTCAAAAGATATAAAGCTGGTACTGATTGCTCATTCTATTGGTTGCTACATCACACTGGAGATGATGAAGCGAGCATCAGAACTTCAGGTACATTAACCTTATAGAATGGAAGTTATGTTATTAGCAAAGCAGTGCATATGCTTAGCCTATGGATAATGCCATGTCTTTCCTGTGGAAGCTCTATTCTGCTATACACAAACTTTCAACTAAAATAAAAACATTAATGACTAATCCTAATAACATATAATAAAGTAGTTTGATGGAAAATGCAGTTCTTACTCTGAATTTGGACCTTTAAATGCCCTTAGAATATAAATGATTAATGGTGATAAATATATTTAGGACTTTCTTCTTGTCTTCTCATCTTTAAATAATTTATAAAGAGATCACTAGATATTTGGCAATTACATTATGTTACTACACCAAAAATTAAGACTGATTATGATTTTAGTAGCAGCTTCTTATCTCAAAGCAAGCAGATTGCTAGCTATACATGAGGAAACATATGGAAAATAATAGTAATATAAATTGTGGTGAGTACTACAATGAAGGACGTTGCTTTTAAAATTTAATGCATATATCATTGCCTCTACAACTCAATCTTGGTTTGTGTAACTCGATGAGAGTGGGAGGTGTCACTGCAAATTCTTGTGTATCTGTATTTTTCTTTGTCACTAGGAAGCAATAAGAAGGTTGAGGCAGAACCATGTCCCTGCAACTCTGGAAATGGAAAACTGTTAGTGCTCAGTAATAACTTGCTCTGCTAGCAGATGATGAATGAAAAATACTGAATTTTTATTCTTAAACATTCACTCTTGCTAAATCATTGCCTTTACATTATAAAATTTTCAGTGGAAGTGCAGTGTTAGTGTCAAGTCTATGTATAATATATGCATGAGTAGATTCTTCCACTTCTTCATAACCATTTCCACTGCACGTCAAACTTTTTTTTTTCTTTTAAAGGAAACAACAACTAAAAATGTCAAACATGAGGTTAACCTGATATATTTCCACAAGCATATTTCACTTTGTGATTATAAACAGGGACATTTTTTTTGTGAGAGAACTTTTATTACTGTTTTATCTTTTCAAGAGGGAGTGTTCTAGAAAATATCATATACAGTAATTTGTCCAAAAATATCAACTTTGGTCAACATCTGTGCAGTCTTTATTATACAATTATTTTATCTGGTTTCAATTAAACTATGAATTTTTCAGTAATTTTTTTACACCTGGCTCACTGGATACTGGCAGCATGCTATTCATCAGGTTTGAAGCAGAGGTATCTTTGGGACGCTCTTAGATTGCATGGTGCACTGTGTGCATGAAGTTAATATATGACAAGCTACATTTAAGATGCATTTAACAATAGAAAATATTTGTGTAAGCCAGAGTGTTGTGCAACTTTTGTCCCTTTGCCAAAAATAAGTTAACTGTTAGCTTTTATAACATATGAAGTGTGATAATAAGAAACTTGTGTTTCCATCTCTCCATTTATTTTTACTGGAATATTTGATTCCCACAAGATTTTGAGCACATATGTGTATTTTAGTAGCTAGTTCATTTGAATTTATTTTTGTGTAGTTCTTACATGATATTCTTTTATTGCATGAGTTTTGGTTTTGGTCTTAAGTTCTCTGCTTTGAGAGCCTTTGATTGCTTACAGTTTATTTTTCTGAGCTAGAGGTTAATGTGTTGTATTTATTGTTCAAATAATTCAGTAAACATTTATATTTGGAGCATATGTTTATGAGATTTTTTTTTAATCTAATTTAAAGCCCTTTCATAATCTAACCAGATATAGACTGGATTTTTTTCTCTCTCATACATTGATGAGGGAACCTGGTGAATTTAAGCTAGCATGCTTGAAAAGGAGAAAGTACTCTCTCTTTATCTCTCTTTCTTGATTGCTCTTCAGCTGCTGGTTTTGAATGCTGCTGATTTCTTGGGCTCTTGTGCTCTGCAAGGTAATGGGGTACTCTGGGTTGGGTTTTTTTTCTTAAACTTCTGTGAAATATGCTTTCTTATTTCATTAAAAGAGAAATGAAACAGGAATTGCCAGTCTGCCCCAGGTTAAATTAAGTTTTAGACCCCATCCCTATTTTCCTGTTGACTCTCAGGGAGGCTTCTGTTAATGGTTTCTTCATGAGACCCCCTCAACACAAACTTAGTTTTAGGTTGATGCCTTTAGCTAAGTCTAATTAGTAGAGAAGGACCACACAGGCTACATCCATACTTGTAACTAAGTGAGGCTGCTACATGGATTTGGGTACTGAGCGAGCTTTAAGACACTTTAAGACACCAAAGAAGCCAGCAACTCCGAGGCAATGCCCTGGCATGGTTCTGGGCTTGGCAGAGGCCCAGGAACATTCCCAGTAGTTAGTTTGGATGCAGACATCCTGGGCTTAAGCAGGAGGACATTCAGCCATGTGGACACAGACCATCCTGTGCCATCCTGTTCCATGGCAGGACCAGGGAATAGTTCCTGGCCATTCTGTTTGGTGGCACACATGTAACTGTGAACACTTCTCAGGTGTCGTCCTGGGCGTCAAATGTTAACAAGAGTCACCTCTTTGTGGGAAGCAGAACATCCAGAGTTTGTCAGATTGCTAAAAAATTCTGACACTGGGAACGAAAAATATTAATCAGCCTTTCTGTGTGGAGATGGAAAAAATGCAATGAAGTGCAACTTAACTTGATACTTCTGAGGTCTTAACCTCATAATCTTCTTCACTCTTCATTCAGCCAGGAGAACTTAAAAATGAAGCTGACTGACAGTATTATTTCCTCAGTTGTTGAAGCTTGAGCCTAACTCTCAAATAGGCTACATCCTCCTGGCATTCTCTTCAAAAATACAAATCCTTATTTGGAGGATTTCCTGGTGCTTTGCTGGCAACACTACCGAGTCTTTCCTAAAATAGTCCGCTTGATCATTAATTTAATCAAAAGATTGACATATTTCCTTGCTAATGAAATTCAGTCTGTTACAGCATTAGTCTTTCATTTGCAATGATGCTTTTGAAATGCCAGCACCTTTGTGGTAATAAATTAACACTTATTAATGAGTGAAACCATCATAGAATGTAAGCATCACTCCTTTTTTTAAAAAACTCGTTGAGGAGTAAGAGTTTTTAAACTCTTGAGTATTTATCAGTTTAAGCAAATAAAATTTCTGTAATATATAATTCAAAACCATGCATTGCTGCTATATCTCAGTGGTGCCAAAGGTTATTGGGTATTGCTAGAACTTAGTTGATTTTATAAATAATAGCTAACAAAACATAAACTGGTATAGTTTTGTATGAACAAGTGCACACCTCGGAAACCCTGTCACATTGTATCTGTGCACACATTCATGTGCATCTGCCTTATCTTTCCTTCACCCTGTTCTCTTCCAAACAGAAATCTGTTGGTCTGTCCTTTCTTTCGAGAAATCAGATGAACGTAACAAAATAACAGAGTTTGTATTTAACGATTCCAGCAATTTATACAGTAGCATAATCACATTGTCATGTTTTTTCTTTTGTCTGGATATGAATTGCATTCAGGTCTTTCACTTGAGAAGCTGCAACTTGTTCAGGGTTTGGTAATGTACGTAGCTTAGAAGGTTTGTGCAGTGTGTCTTACTCTTCATAAATCAGTTCTGACTTTCACCCATCAGGAGGCTGGCTGCTAACCAAACTTTCTTGACTTAAGCAAACATTTCTTCATTGATGACTATTCTGAATTACTTTATGATTTCTAAAATGTTGGTGCTATTCATCCTCTTTTAGAAATAAATTAAACATTCGTAACAGGAGTTATTGGGCATTTTTTGTGAACCTTTTGACCTACTGAAATTGGCTATATAGCCCTGCTGTTGGTTTTCTGTCTGTTTAGTCAGTTTCTAATCCACATAAAAATTATTCTCTCATCCATTATTAGTATTAGTAGTGTTCACAGGGATTGATGACCGAAGCATTTTGTTGGAGCTTTTTAAATATAGTTATTTTAGATGATGCTCCTGTATGTGCATGGGAGTTTTATTTCTTTCTTCTTTATTAAATTTTTCAAAATATTTAGTTATAAAATTGATGGAGCTTTTATCTAGAAAACATTACTGTTGTTACTTGTGATGTTAGAAAAAGCCAGAAATTTATGTTATCTTTCTTTTTTAAATGTAGCTGATAGATAGTTTAGTCTTTTTTCTCTGTCATTCCAAAGTTTCTCTTTTTGCATTGTTAGTATTGGGGTCTTTTATTACCCTTGGTGCTCCCGTTAAGTGACACGCTTAGTGTGACATGTAGTCCTCATTTTGTAATTCCCTACTTCAACCAAAAGGCCACACTCCCATCTCTTGTGAACAGCGTGCTTGCAAATATTGATGGCCTACAGTTATGAGTGACATTCCTTTAACAACGATTCTGTTAGCTTTTATTCTCTTTTCTAGAAATCTGCTTCTTCTCAATTACCTGCAGCCCTTTGCAACACTTCTTAGTGGCAGAAGATCTCTGCACATAGCGCTTCTGACAAATACACTGATCGAATGATAGGACATTTCAGAAATGCTCTTCTCTGCCATCTCTTGGCCAGGGAAGTTTTGGGGTTTTTTTTCAGCGTGTGTGAGAAATTACCTGTATATATAAAAGTAGTTTGTTTTAAAAGAAGCTTTACTAAGACAGTAAAAAATGGCAATAGATAGTTTGCATTGCAATGTATCTTTGTATGCAACATGAAATGCAATAAATAATTATTCACTTACTGAAAGAAATACCTCTTAACAATGTGTGAACGTCTATCCATAAATACTGTTTTGCAATAAGACAGAATATGAAGTTTAAAGCAAATTAACTATTCCTGAATAAGTCACGTAAAACTTTCTGATTCTAAACCAAATGTCTTTTTCTGATATAGCTTAATCTGTTTTCAAAATAGCTTAAGTTAATGGTGTTGAATGTATTTGAGATTCATTCTGGACAAGAGTGTTGACACATGAAGTTATTCAGGAATATTTCCATGTTTAGATATTCTCTACTCAGGCTTTAATTTATCAAGCCTATTGGTCAACATCAGTTCTGTAAGTTATCAAATCTTTTCCAGAGTTTACT